TCTCTCGTCCGTGCAGTTTGTTTTTGCCAAGGAGCAAGGCGACTATCTCAGGGCCATGCATGACAAGGACGAGAAGGTTGTGCCTCTTCCTCTCTTCAAGGATGTTGTGGGTGGCAGCTGCTGTGCAGTTGTTGTTGCTGCTGTGTCTGGGGATGATGCTGCCGGGGAGACGACGATTCTCCGCAATGCTGAAAAGCTGCGGAAGGTAAAGAACTCCCCTCCGCGTAGCGGGAACCTCACTCGTTTCATGGAATTCACGAAGGAACATGAAAAGAAGTGCGAAGCTGCAGCTGCTTCGGCGACGGATAGCGCAGAAAAGGCCCGGCATGAGCGGACGCTGCAGAAGGTAAGAACCATGTTGGCGGACGGAAAAGAGCTGATGGCCAAGCCAGAGGGCACAAAGCCCAAGGTGTACGCTGTTGCTCGCGATCCTCAGGCGGAGGAAAGAGGGGGTCCCCTTACCAAGTCTTCGGCACTGCGGTCTCAACTGCAAATAGCTGACAGTGAGAGTGGCTCCTTTGCGAATACAGGAGAGCTGTGGACTGGCCCCGCCAAGATTGTTGTGGCTGCTGGACCACAAACTTCAAAGCCTGTGACGAAGACCATGGAAATTGTTATTAAGGGTGAGCCAAAGAAGTACGACGTCGAAGAATATGTTGAGCGTAATAAGGGTGGATTGTTTGATTCGGAGATTGCCAACCATGTGCAGAATACTTTGGGGGAGGGCTACAATACGGCGATTCTGGGCTCAGAACTTACGCCAGGATTATCTGTCGACAAGCATGCAGTATGGATCATTGTGCAGAAAATTCTGAAGGGTGTTCTAAGAGAGGCCAAAGCGAATATCACGAATGAGTTCTCAGTTTATATGTGCGTTGTCAAGGGCAGGGAAGTTCTCGCGGATTTGTTTGGTGATTCAGGAAGGCAGCCGCTTGTTATTGCGAACTCACCGTTGTTTGGCTCCATGGTGCACGGAATGACGCCGAAGATCTTGAAGAATGGAAAGGATGTGGGACCTGCAATGGCAGAAGCCCTAACGAAGGCCAAGCCTCTGGTGAAGGATGACGAGTACGTTGTGTGTACGGCAATTCTGAAGCAGATCTGTGAAGGAGATGTGAAGGTGTCCTCGCTGTTTGCAACGTGCGCACTTGACATGCGGCCTTATGTAGGGGTGATGGAGAAGAACCCGGCGTACTCGCGACAACTAATTGGTCAAGCGTTCTCTGGGTCGTGTGCGCCGGTGCTGCTCGTCAGTTACGCGACGCTCAACGATAAGGCCATGGAAGCCCTCAATTTCCAGCGTAAGATGATGCTCCCTCATCTCAAATCACGCGGTGGTAGCGTGAAGAAGTTTGTTGAACACATGGCGGGAAAGGTGGCGAACGCGCAGGAGAAGGCCAAGAAAGCAACTGACCCGAAGGAAAAAGAGCTGTGTGAGGCGGCGTTGAAGCAACTGCAGAAGTGCGTCTCGGACAGTAAGCAACTCCTAAAGAAGCCCAAAGAAACACAGCCTGTTGCATACTTGGGACAGAACCAACATCATCCTCAGGAACAGGAGCCGGGGAGCTCGAACCTAAAACCAGGTTCGAGCTACTTCCAGCAACAGGAGCAAAACCGCAGTTACACCCAGCAACAACAACCGCAACCGCAACAGGGCCTCAGCCAACCCCAGATAAAGCCAGAGAAGGACGCCAAAGAAATCGATGCTACGATTCGTGTGGTGGCGGTTCTCACCGAAAAGCGTGGTGCCGGCCAGTGCGACGTGACGGGCGACGACAACGGCTTCACTGTGAGCGTCGGTGGGAAAAGCATGAAATTTCCAGCGGACGAGGTGGTGAAACGTGCAAGCCACGCGGCTTCTATCCGCTCCAGCAAAGTTGACGCACTTGTTGACCATTTCGTTGGTGGTTTTAATGTGGCGCTCCTGACGGCCGATGATGATGGTTTTGCGGTGGGATCCGAACTGCTTGTACGCTCGACCCGCAGCGCCTTCGCGAAAGCGTCAGCAGAGAGCGAGATGTACCTGATGATTGCCGCGCTAAAGCCCGAGGAAGACACCGCGAAGGATCTTCAGGTCGATGGCGCCAACTACGAACCGCGAGTGCACGCGTCGTCACCCCTCTTCGGGCCGTGCATTGGCGGCGCGAAGCTCGAGCGCGTGAATACTGCAGATGCCGCCCTAACGAAAATTAAGTCGGGTCTCGGTGTGTGTGAGACGGACAAGGCGGTGCTCTTCACACTACTTGTGTATAAAGATATAAACGCCTCGGAGAAGGACGTGGTGCTCTCCTCCTTCCTTACCCTTTTGGCTGGGAGCAACGTGCAGATGTACTTGAAGTCCCTCGAGGCGCAGCAGAAGGAGCGCGGTGTATTGCACTACGCGCTTGGCGGCCCGTGCCTCACCGTCTGTGCTGTTGGCCTCTCTACGGGAAGCGAGAACGCGGACACTGCACTGGCGCTGGGCCAGGTAGCAAAGGCTGTTAAGGGCACTTCTAACTCTCATGTGCGCAGCGGTGGGTTAAAGCGGTTCGCGATGTTTTCGTTAAAAGCCCTCACACAGCTGCAGGTGTCCCTAAAGAATGCGACAGGGCATGAAAAGGAACGAATCGCCAAGAGCAACGCCAATGTGGAGGCAGTGCTGAAGGACGCAGAGGAAATGCTGCGTGACCCGAAGGACCGGCCGCCGAAGGTCTACAAACAGTTGCACTAGAAAAGGAGAAGCAGGAATAAAAAGAGGCTGAAAATGAAACATATGCATACAGGGAATGCCGAGCAGTTTTATCTATATATGACACGGGATAAGTGTTTTTTTTTTCTTTTTGCTTTCTGGGCCACCGGATCAGTCAGAGGGAGGGGAATAAATGAACAAATGATCATGAAACAAATAAAAATGCAAGCAGGCAAGTGCGGTGTTTTTTTTTTTGGCGCCGTGACAATAACATATTCCAATTTTTGTTTGCTTCATTGTACCTCTACTCGGGCCATACGCATATGAGAGAGAGAGAGAGAGGAAAAGGGTAATTTCCCTTATGAGTACGTGATTATGTTCATAGTGTGGCAGCCACTCGGCGATGCTGGTGCATTTCAAGTGTGGGTGCCGAAGACATAGTAAATTTATTTTTGTGTTCCCGTTGTTGTTGTTGTTGTCCTGAGATGCAAATACCGGACAACTGTACTTGTCTGCGGAAACGCGACAGCAGAGCAAGGCGCATGACGAGTGCGGTATGCAAAAGAATAAGTGGACAAATGAAAGCCCAAGACGATGAGGGGGAGAGAGAGAAAAAAATAACATGTGTGAACAAGAGGGCAATAAAGGGATAAGGAGAAAGAATCGTGTGGATGGGAGAAACCGGCTGAAGTGAGTAATCCAAATACATTTCTTTGTTCTCCCTATTTTTTTTTCTTTTTCTCCTTCCTCGTCCATTTTTTTTTCTTGTCTTTTTTTCCATACACTGCGCCTCCCTTTTATTTTTGTGTTGTTGTGCAAAGAGGGGCTCGGGCCCTGGGCTGCTTGCAGCACGGGAAGCTACCATCGCCCTTTCTCATCAAGCCGTTCTCCTGTCCAAGCAAACACGCAACTACGTATGTCCAGATTTCCGCTTTTGCCTGGTCCGGATGGTTGTTTGACATTTCATTTGCTTTTTTTTTGTGATTTTATTTCGGTCTCTGGTGGCGTTGACACTGCCTTTCTTTGTATTTCTCTCCGCTATTGGTGGTGAAGGCGTTTCCTTGCTTTTTTTTTTGTTTTTCTTCCTCTCTCACTTTCTCCCTCGCTCTTCCTCAATCTGTTTCTCTATGTCTTCCTTTCTGTTACTTTGAGATTTTTTCATCATTGTGGCTTGTTTCACTCATTGTGCCCACGTGTGTTTAAGGCAGAGCGGAGAAAGAAAGAAAAAAAGAATCTCACCCTCACAGGCTCAGGCACGGCACCTACATGTATACGTCTGTGTATATGTGTGGGAGTCTG